CCCCCGCGCCAGCCGCGAGTCCGGGGTCTTGCACTCGGCCAGCCCGCGCAGCGTCACGTTCCTTTGAGCAGCCTCTCGCTGCCGTCGCGCCTGGAAGTGAAACGCCGTGAAACGCCCAACAAAACAAGGTCTCGAGCAAAAGGGAAGGTTTTTCGCGCTGCACGCGGGCCAGAAGACCGGCACCGGGGCCAAAACTCTAGACGCGTTTTGAGCTCCAGAGTCGCCAAATGGGACTCGAACCGAACGTGTGACCCCCCCAATGGATTGCCTCCGAACGAGGAGGCATTGGGGGGTCACACGTTCGGTTCGAGGCCCCTTTGGCGACTCTGGAGCTCAAAACGCGCCTAGAGTTTTGGCCGCCTCCGCCGGTCTTCTGGCCCACTGTGCGTTGGACGTCCCCACCGACCATAGGCCTCCGCGCCCCAGCCAGTGACGACGGCCAGCTCCCCGCGCAGCGTGTCCGTGTCGCCGTCCAGGTCGGTGTGCAGGCGGGCCCGGGCCGCACGCGCCTCCGCGGGGCGCGCGCTCCCGGCCAGGCGCAGCAGGGCGATGTCGTGGTAGCGCGCCCGCACCGTGTACTCGGGGTGCACCACCACCTCGGCCACCTCCAGCAGCTGCCGCGTGCCCTTGTCCGCCAGCGACTCGGTGCGGTTCAGCGCGCCCAGCAGCACCCAGCGCACCCTGGACCTGTTGGAGGGAGGAGCGTCACATCAGTCGCCTGAGTCCCAATGATTCTTTCGTAGCGCTGCCATGGGGCATCCCCGAGGGGGAAACAAATTCCCACATTCATTGCACAAAATTTGAACACATTCCACATTCAGATGGCGAAAACGCCTGTAAGTAGGCAACATGCTCGGCAACATGTGTGACAAATACACTGGTAAAACTAAAGCGTAACACTATGCTTTGAGCCAAGCATAGAGTTACGCTTGAAGACGTTCCGCTTGAACTCAAACATACTCTGGAAATTACCCCATGCATTTAGATAGGGGAAATCTTGGCAGATGAGCCTGTTACGCTTGATTTCAAGCGTAAACTGATTACGCTTGAAAACAGAGGGTAATACTACGCTTTACTTTTACCAGTGTACAGCAGAAATCTTGCACATTCCAACACATTTCCACATTCGTTGTACACTGAATCTTACAGTGGGTCACCCCTCGGGCATCCCGCACTGATGCGAGAGAGGCAGCGCGACGAAACGGTCATTCGGAACCTAGGCGACAGCCCTTTCCTTTGCAGCAATTCCATCTCCGAGACGAGAAAGACAGAGGCTGATTCCGAGAATCGTTTTCGTCGCTCTGTCTCTCTCGCACTCATGGGGCGTCTCGAGTGGGTGCGAGAGAGACAGAGCGACGAAAACGACTCTCGGAATCAGCCTGCAGAGACTCACGCGCCGAGGGCGACGCAGTGCGCCGCCGTGAGGACGAAGTCCGGGGAGATGAGGGAGCCGCCGCAGCTGTACTCGACGGCGTCCCTCTCGCCGTAGCCGAGCAGAGCCTGGGCCACACAGGGCGGGACGAGACACCATTATGAAAGCACTCTGCCGCGGCAGAGTGGGCCAGAAACCGGTGGGGGCGATCAAAATTCTAGACGCGTTTTGAGCTCCCGAGTCACTAAACAGGACTCGAACCGAACGTGTGACCCCATCAATGGATTCCTTGTCCGGAGAGCAATCCATTGATGGGGTCACAGGGTCGGTTCGAGTCCCATTCAGCGACTCTGGAGGTCAAAACCAGGGGCGCCGGAAGTGGGGTGCAGGGTGGGCAGGCTGACCCTCCTGGTATTTGGCAGGGGGGGCATCGCCCCCCCTGAAATTTGGCGGAAAGCTGCGAAAATCGAGCTAGGCGGGAGGGCACCGGCAGCGCGAAGTATCTCAGCAGCGACCGGAGCGAGACGCGGTGCGGCGGCCTTTTCCCCCTTCCCCTTGAATTGAAGAATTTGTATTATTATGGTCAGTTAGGGTAATTATGGGACACGGGGTAAAAGTGCTCTACAAATCAAAGAGTGTACATGGTATGCTCTAACTGGAGCATGCCTGCAAGCAAGCTCTAGCTAGCGCATGCCTGCCAAGCATGCACTAACTAGTGCATACATGCCATGTACACGCTTTCTGATGCTGAAAACTCCCTATCCCCTATGCAGTAAATGTATGCTTCAGTTAGCGTGTACATGGCATGTATGCACTAGTTAGTGCATGCTTGGCAGGTATGCGCTAGCTATAGCGTGCTTGCAGGCATGCTCCAGTTAGAGCATACCATGTACACTCTTTGATTTGTAGAGTGGGATAGCATATTCTTAATCAAGATTACGCATAACATACGAAATGTGATGTTTTTATTGAGTAAATAACATTTGATACGGCACAAGTTCTGAAATCACGATTCTTGAAAAAAAAAAAACGTTAACGCTAACGCTAACGTGAAAGCAGAGATGATACTTATGAGAATGTTTATTGAAATGTATGAATGTGGCATTTTGTCAATTTCTTTCAAAGAGTAAACACTCGGAACTCTTCTTTTGACAAAAATTTCTTACGCATGGTAATTCATGAAAATGTCAATTTTAGTATAACTTTTGAATATCCTAACGTGCCATGTTCGCAATGACGGTGGGACACTCATATGTCCGATACCACTTGTGTTGGGTATCATTTTCGTTGTTTCAACGCGAGGATGCACAATTTGGTGGCTAATAAAATAACTTTTCAATACCCATAAAAGTTGTGTTCGGTACTAGGGCAAGGCGCCTTGCGGCACGCGGCGTGTCAGCCACATCTCCAAGCGGGGCCGGCCGGCCGGCGCGCTACCCGAACCCGACCTCAAGATAGATAAGCAAGAGTGGCGCACACTGCCGACTGCCGACGCGCCGCTTCTCGAGAGGGGCAGGGGTTCGGGGGGCTCTGCACTATGCGTTCTACGCACTCAAGGCTCAAGTGTGTGTGTGTGTGTGTTGTGTGTGTGTGTGTGTGTGTGTGTGTGTGTGTGTGTAGACTGCTGCGGGGAGTGGCGGGGCGCGGCGGGACGAGGCGTCTCGGCAAGGGAATGGGCGAGGGGGGCAGCTACGCTATGCGTGCTAGCAGCGTCCCGTAACGACGCGCAACGCGAGGGACGCACTTCATGAGTACTAGATAAATGGGTGTCGAGGTTATACGCCGCGCGCGCAACCCGAGCCCCCGCAGGCGCCCCGACTCATGGTGCGGCGCGGAACGGTGCGGCTCGGCACGCTGCGGGCCCTCCGCTCATAATCTTCTAGGCAGGCTAGCCAGCCGCTGCCTTGCCAGCGAGACGCTCGGCCTCTTCTAGGCTTGCTAGTCAGGCAACGAGGCAACTGCTGCCTGGCTAGCCGGAAACTCGGTACTCTCTGCACGAGAGTACAAGCACGCTGATACGTAAACGTATCATCTGCTAAAAAAAAACCTCAGCTGTCCCATTTTTACCCCGTGTCCCGTAATAACCCCGATTGACCCTAGCACATCTTTGGTTCGATGAAATATTTATTTTTGAATCTCTAACTTTAACAGAATACCAATTCCACCTCAATAATTTCATAAATTCAATAATACGATGCCACTTTTTTCCAGCTGGAAAAAGGAAGTATGAATGACATTTGTAAACCGTTTTAAAAGGCACCTTTTTTTTTTTGGGGGGGGGGGGGTTATAAAGAACGTACGATTTAGAATTGTTGCCCCCCCTGACGAAATACACTTCCGGCGCCTCTGGTCAAAACGCGTATAGAATTTTGACCGCCTCCACCGGTTTCTGGCCCACTGTGCGCGCGGAGTCATGGCGGAATGGAGCTGCTTGTGATGGGGCTCTCGGCCGGCATGCCGCGGCACTCACCATGTGGGGGTACTCCATCGAGTCGGCGGGGGAGAAGTAGGCGCCGAAACCGACGTATTTGGTCCTGTCCTCTCTGCTCACCTCGCCGGAGCAGATCTGCCGCTGGTACTGCAGGCACTCTGCGAGGGCGAGGGAGTGAACGAAGAGACGGTGGAGGAGGCCAGACGGGGCGAGAGAAAGGGAAGAGGGGTCGGGAAACCAATGACTGCGCAGCGCACTCAGGGGTTACATTTCACAGTGGACTAGAAGACCGGCGCAGGCGGCCAAAATTCAAGACGCGTTTTGAGCTCCAGTCGCTGAATGGGACTCGAACCGATCGCATGACCCCACTCATGGATTGCTCTCCGCGAACGAGGAATCCATTGGTGGGGGTCACACGTTCGGTTCGAGTCCTGTTTAGCGACCCTGGAGCCCAAAAAGCGTCTCCCGTTTTGGCCGCCTCCACCGGTCTTCTGGCGCACTGTGCGTTTCATTCTTTCTCACTCACTCTTTCTGGCCACGCTGCCCGGACCGCTGATGACGTCCTCGAGGGCGACGCTGCGGTTGAAGGCGCCGCAGGACAGGCCAGGCGGGCCCTCAGGCGGGCCGGGCCGCGGGGGCGGCGTCGACGGCATGGTCCTGCCGTACTGCAGAGGACAGCAGACGTCGGGCATGCTGGAGCCTCCGGACGGGAAGCCGCACAGCTGCGGGTGGCCGCCCTGGCGGCGGTCGTCCACCGCGCTGGGGCACTCCGACAGCAGCCGGCACTCGGCCGCGCCGCCGGGGCCGCCCAGCACGCACGCCTCGCGGACGCCTGTCGGCAAGCAGCGTGCACTCCAACTTGCAAAAGGCAAATGGCCGTCACCAAGGCAAGTGCACCTTCCAGAGGGAGCATCTGGCCGTCACCAAGGCAAGTGCGCCTCCCAGAGGGAGCATCCGGCCGTTACCTGAACCGGCGGCATCGGTCGGGAACTCCAACTCCTGTGCTGCAGCCGCCAGCAGCAGCGACAGCTGGAGCAAGCCCTGGCCGAGCGCCGTGGCCCGCATTTTCGAAGAACTGCAAGACTCCTGCTGAGGCGGCGGCCCTAGGAGGACTCTGCCTTCGCGCGACCGCGCGCGGTCACGGTCATGGCCCTGGCCGCCTGGCGCGAGACGGCCAACAAAGACGGCCTGGCGGAGGTCTCCGCGGTGCTGCGCGCGGCGCTGTCTGGCTGGAGTGGAGTGTTCTGCGACTCGACGCGCGACTCGACGCGTCGCCGCGCGGTGCTGCAGCCCACTGAGCAGCGCCCCTGCGTTCCGGCCGTTCCGGTGTGCCGTGTCTCACGCTGTGCCGGCAAGGCGGCAACGTACCGGCAGTGATTCGCAACGAGCGGCAAACAGTCGCAAACCGGCTTGGCGCTGCTGGCGCTGCTGGCGCTGCCTGCCGCCTGGCCCGGCCTGCCTCCCATCGCATCATTTGACGTCACAAGGACGGGTCGCGGCACAGGACGCGCCGCGGCCAGCGGCCACTCAGTGCGGCGCGCGCTGCTGGAGCCGGCAAGCCTACCGGTCGTGCCACCAGACATCATTGGCTCCTGCACCGAGCCGCCGGGGGGAAGGAGGCGCTTCAAACAAAAGCGGTTGAGGACAACGTTTTCAAAGCGCTCCCGGAGCGCTCCCCATGCCGCAAATCTACGGCTGCTCCATCAAAACTTGGCAGAGAAATTTTGAACTGTGGTAACATTGAAACAGGCGAGAGGATACCTTCTGTTCACTGCAGCCGACTGCAGCCCAGTCTCATCGCCCCGCCTGACAGGGACAGGTGCTTCCCTACTTTTGGGGTCCGTAAGAGCTTTGGACCCTCGGCTAGCAGACGGACGGCGCTGGCGCTCCGCCGCTCTTTGAGTGACTGCGACAAAGCGCGGATTCAAAACCAGACCCCGTCGTGCAGCGCCGAGCCTGACGGGCTGGTCGTACTGCGAGTCGGAGCTCCGCCGAGGTGTCACGGCCATGTCTCGTTATGTGTCGTCCAGCCCCCTGGTAATGTGTGGTTACTAGAGCCCTACATTACCCCCTTGCGTCGTATCCGCGCGGTAGGCCACCAGCCCGCTCCGCAACACACCGCTGTAGAGGCGGTGGCCTACCTTGCCCCTGTGACGGTGCCACGCTCAGAGCCAGCTCTAGGCAGGCTAGGGTCAGGTAGTTCGGTAGTGACCCTGTTGGGGTGCCGTCACGGTGTGCTCTCCCTACAACACCACAGACCTCATGGGGCGGCACCACGCCTTTACTGCAAAACCCTGTAAAATCTGTAAAATCGCAGTTGCCACCTCTGAACGCACGGATGTACGTGATCCCGTCTTAATGATCATGCTCACTCTAAATGTCCCACAATGGAATTTGACCTATGTTATTCGTATGTTGCAGTGAATTCGGCGCAAGCATAATACGAAGCAATATATCTTCGTAATAGGAATCTTTTAACGTTTTTCATTGTAAGATGCAAAGAAAAACCCTCGTAATACGAAAAAAACACCTTGTATTGCTTGCGCCATTTCCTTCGTATTATGGGAAATTTCTTCGTTAGACATTTAGAGTGCTGAAGAAAAATAAAAGGTTTCTGTTCGATATTTTTAATTCTCAAAACTACTTTCTAAATTTTAAATCGAATGTCAGCAGCCTTTGCTGATGACTCTGCCAATATTGAGAGGCCAATTCTGAGCTATCACACCGAAGTTCGGGCTGAGCTGAGAGTCAACATGGATATAGATGCACAAAGTAGCAACTACTACTACTACTACTACTACTACTACCACTACTACTACTACTACTACTACTACTACTACTACTACTACTACTACTACTACTACTACTACTACTACTACTACTACTTCACTGCGGTTTTATGTTTTTTATTACAGAGGTATGGAAATGTGCTACATTCATATGAAACTCGTCATGTTTTTGAATTATGCAGCTCAAGATTTGCAAACATGTACTTGATTCTATTGCAGAATATTTATTATCATCTGTGGACACTTATATCGCATGTCAACAATAAAACAAAAATGATTATACTGTACTCGACTGTAGTGCATTTTGTCTTGCAACCTGGTTATGCAGAAAACCAGTTTTGCATGTCTTCCCTGTGACGTGCCAAAGGAGTGGTCTACCTTCCAGAGCTGACGGCGGGAACTCTTTTGCATCTTAGAGGAAAACCTAGCCCTTATGCAGAGCCGCACGCTGCGCTGGGGTGGGAGCCGATGGCAGGAACTCTTTTGTACAGAGCCGCGCCGTGAAGGTAGGCCACCCATTTGACACGCTGCTGCGCTGCGGTGGAAAATTTACAGACCTCCCCAGCCGGGATTTGAACCCAAGCACCCACGAACCCCCGATCGACACCACAGCCCACTGGGCCACCTTGGCACCGATTAGTATACGTTCGTCTAAACTTGAGTGATGGTAACGCATTCAAGCAGTCAACTGAGGAAAATGTTTCCTTACCTGTGATTCGAATCCAAAGTGCACTCTCGGGGTGACCCCTTTCTCTGCGCTCTCAGCCACCGAGACATCGGTAATGTTTGACATTGACATGTTTGCCGATATTGATACTGATGGTACCGAATTTAAAGTTCAACTGAGGAAAACGTTTCCACACCTGAGGTTTGAACCAGTTTCAAAGCGGGGCGGCCGCTACCTGTGCCCTGAGCCACACACACTGCAATTTGGATGGAAAGACTTCACGCCAAAATATGGCGAGACATGAAAGTCTCGCCAAGTTTTGGTCCGACCTGAAAGTCTCGCCAAAATTTGGTCACACAAAAAAGTCTCGCCACAAAACGGTCATACACAAAAGTCTGACCACAAAATGGCGAGACTTTTGTGTCTTACCACGGCCTTAAGGCCGTGACCGTCCGGCGCATTACGGCCTTTCGTTGGCGGTCAGACACAAAAGTATCGCCATTTTGTGGTGACTTTTGTGTATGACCGTTTTGTGGCGAGACTTTTTTGTCTGACCAAATTTTTGGCTGAGCGATAGCGAAGCCCTTGTTGGCTGAGCGATAGCGAAGCCCTTGCCGTGTTTGGGCGCGCTGAAAAGTGACTGGTCGTGAGTCTGTCTGTGTGTTTGTACTCACCAACGATTCTCAGCAACTACAGTGGCTATAGTTTCAAGATTTCGTATTTAACGTCGCCTTAGTACCCCCCAACACGAGTTTGTTTCAAATCGTTGTTTAGTATCGTTTGAAATATTTAAAACATACTTTTGAATCAGGTTATTAGCATGGTTAGGTTGGCAGCACTCAGCACTCACGAATTTCTCATACCTGCGGCCGCGGCTCTCAAATACGGGACAGAAGCAAAAGCAAATAAAACAAAATAACGAGCAGAAGGGATTGGAAATGAGATCGGCCATAGTTTTTCCACATTCTAGAATGATTAAAACCATTTTAGAGTATCAACACAGCGAAATATGGAGAATGGCAGTAAAAATGATTTACGTGTTTCGTTCCCCTCTCCCCCCCCCCCCTTTCGAAGGGAATCTTCTTCAGGTCAGTGCACTTTGACAGAGCAGTGAAAAAAGAATTTTTTTTTTTGACCTTTTGTATTGTGGGCATCTACTTGTTTCATTTTCTATAGTGTCATCCTCTTTTTTAAATTTTAAAGTAGAGGAAATCAGGAAATGCATAAATAACTTGTGTTGAAATTAGCAGGCATACTTAGTTTGGACTCGAGAAATACATTCTATTGCAATGCTGCAAGCTGACAAGAGTGCAAAAGTACTAACATGTGTTTATTAATAGAATCAATGTATGGTTGTGTATATTTAATCCTAATAGAGTTTGAATTGATTTTGGGGTTCAAAGAGACGACTCAGGTTTTGAGCGGTGAGTGAATTAGTAAATGGATTTAATGAGACGATTCCTTTCACTTCACTGAAGTTAATAAACTGGTACTACTCAGTATTGCATACCTGAGTAAGATAAATTGTGTCGGTTCATTAAGCCTTGGAGCATTGGACTCTATTGACGAATCACTGGTTTTGACAATAATTGGTCCCCGTTAACGGGTTCAGATCAGCCTCCCTAAACTGACTCTCTTAATATTAACTGTGATAACGTATGCCAATCAATATGGTTTTATTCACTGGTTCACAATGAAAGAATGACAAAATTTTTCATAGATATTACTTATAAAATTGAAATTCATTAGTTAAGAAAAAGAGATATCGAATAGTGACCCAATCATACGAGAAACCCAAATTTAAAGCGATTCAATGCTGGCAATTGAATGTTACTCGACTGAGGGATTCACATTGGTGTGGCATCAGGGAATTGGTGATGACAGTGGGTGCTTCATGAAGACAGTGTAGGAATGTACAGAAATTGAGTCTAGATAGTTGTTTGTGGATTTCAGTGTACTAGTCACAAAAGCTACATTTATTTCAATGCCAAAACCCAACTTTCACCAGAGCTACGCAATTTGGGGCGAAACTTTCTAATTTGAGAGTCATGCGTTTCCCTGCAGTTTTTGTGCGCTGACTTCAATATTGACTTCTAAATAGTCCCCAGACCCAAAAATTTTAAACCCATTTTGGGTCAAATTTTTTAAAATTTAATTGCACATTGATTCTTGCAGTTTTTTGAGTGCTGATAGCAAAAATCACTTCCATTTTGACATCAGACTTATATTTTCATCCGAAACGAGGTCATTTTTGGGCCAAAATTTTTAAGTCGAGTCTTATATT